CGACTCCCTGATTAAAAGAGTTCATAACTAATTAAAACCATTTTTCTACGAAAATGAGGTGCTGGTTTTTGCAGCCTCCGTCAACTATCATGTTAAACGGATGGCATAGCTAACGGTTGTGAATCATTTGCTTAACGTAAGTTCTGCTTCGTGCGCTGTACAGGATTGCTCTGTTGGCTCGTATCGATTCGAAAATTGTACAATAAAGCACCGTGGTATTGATCGAACGCGATTTTTGATGTAGCCTGCCCTGAAGCTATGATCCCCGTGACTGAAGATATATCTAATTTGACACCGTAACCTTATTCAAGAAGCTCAACTCCTTATTAAGGATGTTCAGCCTTGCCTTTGAATTAGAAGTTAATTAAAAGTAATTTTATGAAAAAGGATGTCGGGTCTCTTGGAGGTACAGAGTTTTACTACCTGCCACTGCGAAAACAACGAAAGTTAATGTATTAGGTGATTTGTTGTTAACAACTGTTGTCAAGAAACGGTGGTTTGGTCTTTTTTCTGTTTCAAAACTGTGGGTTTCAAAAGTGATACGTTTGTTAGAATTTTGAGATCGAAAAGTTTAACGAGGTCGTTCAAAAAAGTGTTTGACTTAGAATGTAAATAAAAATGTCGTCTGCAATGTATTTGCTCTAAAAGATCGGCTTAATATGAGAAAGGCATATGCAGAAACAAATCAATGAAGATTTCAGCCAATGAATCGCTGGTGGGATCTCAATAGTTTAAATCTTATCATTTGAGTTAACTGTGACGCATCATGTGGTTTATGTGATTAATTGTAAAAAATGCCATTGAGTTTGCGTTGGTAAAAAGGTACAGGATGCGGATGCTTAATGTTAGAATAATAGAAGACCAACATGCAATTAATGGATGCCATCCCAAGCGTTCGGGAGTCGTAGTCCATTCGTTAGAGTGCAAGTATATATTTAATATAAAAAACATCTACATCGCAGTTTGTGAAAGGCAAAGGCTAAGTCTGAATCTTTACATACTCAATTAACATGGAAAACATGTGTAACGAGTACATCAGCTCATCTGATATTTGTTCGTCTTTTAAATCTATAATGTAGCAAAATAAAAGCACTGCTAGATTAGTTTTCACGACTTGTTTGACTGCTCCAGTTTCAAAACCAAATTCATGCTTTTCGTGAAATTCAAATTCTATTGTTCGTCAGTCGGCACCACGGCTGTTTCGTTATTTTTCTGTATCTTATCATTGAATTGGGTAGTGTTTCACTGTGCTATGAAAAATTTCCCTCATGGTTTCTGTACCAGAAGTCGAAACATACGCATTAAGTAAAGGAGTATCTTATGTCACGCCCAAAATAATTTGCATTGAAAAATAATGAGGAAATGAATGTAAAATATGCCAATAGCAGAATTCCCGTATCATCGTATGTCTGTGTGATCACCGCTGTAACAACATATTTGGGGCCGTTGATCAATAACAGTTCACTATACGATAAATTCAATATAGGTTATAATAGTACTCTTATGGTGGCATGGTTTCAAGCATATATTACATATGCTCAGAGGTTTCTGTTGTCCGGTAGCGCGGCTGGCCATGAAAGAAGAAACAAATTGAGATGTATGTCAGACAACAGGCTGAGACCTGGTCGGAGGCAGCGGCATCGAGCATCGTCAGAGAACCTCATTTGAAGGTTGAGTGTTGCGGCTGAGCATATTTCATTCATACCTCATAGATCCGTTAATATGTTGAATTCAAATCTGTTTGAAACATCGCTATTGCAACATGCAACTCTGCTAGTCGCTGTCGTTTCATTGGTGACAAACGATATTTTCTGAATTGTTCGAAACGTTAATGTTCTTATTTACATTTCACAATAAAAAATCGTTGTCCACATTCTACGCTGCCTCAGCATTCGTCTCTGTTCGTTTCTTCGTGCATGGAGAACCGGTTTATTGGAGAATGGAAAACTCTGAGCAGATGTAATAATTGATATGATATCTGCCACCTGTGCTGTGATAATTGTCGTATCGTCTTATATTGAATTTACCTGACTGCGATAATTCTGGCATTGTCTGCTGTTGTCTTTGTTCAAGTCATCATGCGTAGGCAGAACACCTTTGAAGCTATGTAAGGTTATTTTTGCTGAACACAGCAGATGATATCAGAAAGTGATACCAAGTTTCCATTGAACCCCCCCCCCCTCCATCCCTTCTCCTCCCATCTGTTAGTCTTCCTTAGCCAGCCCTTTGATGAAAGAAGCTAGTAGATCAGATTGAAACGTTTCTTCGTATGGATATGATTTCCGCAGTGGCAGACGATTATCGACCTTATTCGTAGTTGCATCTGTTGTTTAAGAAATCCGTTTCATTTGCAGCTGTTGTGCACATTTGCTAACTGTGCGTGTTATTGCATCATACAACGAACAGTTCGTCTCTGAAAGCACGTTTAACTACTGTACAGGATCTACCAGTTTCGGGTTACTCTGTCGATGAAGCATAACACCTCGGAACCGACTAGTCTTGAGTTCAGCTCCAATTTGGTCATTTGCCTTTCTTCCTTCCGACGTTGACAAATAAGTACATGCAATGATGTGAGTTAGAAACTCGCAGAGACAGAGTTAGAAACTCAGCTAGAGATAATACATGTTATGCAAGCGAGAGACTTCCTGTGGCATAACTGTGGACTGCCGACTCTGCCTCAGAAATGAGGCACTCATAGCTAATGGCTTAGAAGTGAACCTCAAATCACCCTCAGTCATCATAATATACGGAAGATGAATATCGCAGCAAATAAAATCTTTCTTTTCTTCGTTGTTTTCTGCATCTGCCGCTTTCGGCTTCCATGCGATAAGCTCACTACATTGAGTGAATGGTTCATGCCCCCCTCCCATCCTCATTTTTTTAAACTATGCATCTTTGGTGAACAACTTTGCTTGAATAGATTTAAATCGTTCTTATGTTTATCCTGTTATTCGATCCTGTTTACGAAAACAACAGACTTTATGTTTAGAAAGTTACAACGCCTACTCGTAGGTTTCTTTGTTTCGTCTACTGATCCTGGGCTTAAAATGCAGTAATTCTTCATCTACAAAAATATATCCGACAATGGGATGTTTTTGCTGCTGCGTGGGATGTGATGTTTTTCACGTCTGACCCATTGATGATGAAACTGTAGTGTGCTGAATCGATCTTTTCAATTGCCTCTTGCTTCAAACTATTGATTTAACCGTTGAAAGGCAAAATAATTCCACTTGTCGTTTTTTGATGCCTTCGTAATGAATTTTGACGTTTGCCATAAAACTAAAGGCTTTCACAGAAATACTAGTAGAAACAAATATTTCACCTTTGATTGTTCACAATCCAAAGTCCATTTCAGCCGCTTGCACCCTCGGTCGAAATTTTTCAGTTATGGTCCACGACTCATCGAGGTAAATAAGCATGGGGGTGAAGACCGACTTGAACACCGAAAGCTTAGT